AAATTTATTTGTGAATTAGTGTATTAGTTTATATTCTAAGTATCCCGTCACTAATATAAAATGATTTTTAAGTATAAGATTACAGTCATAAAATAGGTCAGCTGATGTATGAACCAAACACAAAAAATTGGTTCAACATATTTATGATTTACAACATCTGACTTTTGATTTATTTTTCCTATCTAATGGTAATATAATGGAAGTTATCATTAATAACAACTGCACAGTTTGCAAAGTATCACAGAATCATTCTGGCATAGTAGAACACCACAGATAATGATAATGAATGAGAGAAAATGCAATGAAGATTTTACTGATGAACAAGAGCTTGAATAATTTAAACTTATGTTGTCTTTGATCAAGAATACATCAGATTTGGCAAATGAGTGTGTATGAAAGCAATCACAATTATTCTTTCACCATCATTACATTAAACAAGACAAATTAATTTGAGACAAAATTACAAAACGGTATGCCTAATGAGGTACTCCACATCCTTTTGAACATCTAATGTGACAGTTACAGTAATATATAATTTAAAAAGTCATAATCAATAATGACCTCTGTTACTTCATCCCTTTCTACCTCAGATTTTACTGAATTCATCTTCCTTGATTAGCATGAATAAAATAGTCTGCAGAAAATGTGTTCATCAGAATTATTGTAACTTGAGAAAACTATAACATAGGAAATAAAGAACTTGAAACTTGGATTTGAAATGTAAGAATTCTATTTCCATATATACTTTGAATAATTACTTTTTACAAATATAAATATCTTATGGGCAGAAGCATATGTTATCCTTGCGAGCTCACAATGGACTGGAATAGTGATATCACTGATTAATCGCACGAACTTAAAATAGATCTTACTTTTCTTTTTCTTATAAATTAAAGTTGTTTTACTTGAAAAACAAACCAAGGCATGCCAGCACTTTTTTTCAAGCACCAACTCATGACAGGCAAAACAATAATAATCTTATATATGAATATCTTATATGCCATAAGTTTTGCATCAGCAAGGTCATAGAATAAAAATCAACTTTTACACATATCAACTTTTACAAAATATCATCAGCCAAGACATATCATAAATTAGGACTTAAACTACCTGTTCTACTGGTAGTTTAAGTCATATCAACATGAAATTATTTTGGACTACATCTATCATCTGCCAAGACATACATTAGCCCTTTGCATACATCCATTCTACAGCATTCAACATGAACTTATTCTGGACTACAGCTGTCTTTAGTGCCATTTATAATAGGAAGGAAATTAAAGGACTATTTTATTCTCCACCACTTCAAAACATTCTCATTTCTTCCACTTGACTGATCTCTTCCATATTCTGCTAATGAAAGTAATATTCCCTAGATAGTTTCAACATGTATTTACCTTTCTTTAGAGAAAAAACAATAATGTATTAAAATATCATATTAAAAAAATCTTCTTTCCTTGAGCTAGTATTTTGCCTTAAAAAGTAGAAATTGCCCTAAATGTATTTTGATTAAAGACAATGAATTTTATTAGATATATCAGTAAACAAATGCTCAAAATAGATTAACATAAGACAAAATAACTGATACTGTTTTAGAACCACAATATTCAACCATCCAGCATGACTCAGGCAATCTCTGCAGTAATCTTTAGGTGTCCTATTGGGTGTGAATCAGGAAAAAATAGTATTTAGCTGCCTCTGTAGGTAGAGTATCCATACGGGCTTAAGAGAAGAGGAATATGGTAATGTTCTTCCGGCTTTGCAATAACAAATACAATCTGAAAGAGATAGATTATATATCAGAATGGGGTGTTGAATGTGAATATGTATTTGCATATGTCATGCATGCATATATGCATGCCTGCCCACTGACCCATCTCCATGTGCAAACTCATGCACACACACACATGCACGCACACATCCACCCACACCCACAAACACATACACACAGCTAGCAGGCAGGTAGCCAGCCAGTCAGGCATGCATACTGGAAGGCAGGCAAACATGCAAACTGATATAGCTAGCAGGCAGGTAGGTAGCCAACCAGTCAAGCAGACTGGCAGGAAGGCAAACATGTACACACACACATTGCTAGCAGGCAGGCAGGCAGGCAGGCAAACACACACACACACACACACACACGCAAGCACACTTTCCCAAATTTCTTTCATATCATTAATACATTTGTTCAAATTTAGTAAAGTTATTTCTGATTCTGTATACACACAGAATTTCTTATGCCAATGCTACGTCACACAAAATAATCAAGGACCAATTCCTATGAAATTAATACCTCATAAGAAAAGATTTTTCCAAAACGGATTCACTATGAAATACACAAGTAAAAGGGGAAAAAAACATGCAACTCTTTCAGTTGTCAGTGAAAAATAGATAAGTAAATATATAAATAACACCATGATGTATGAATGTTTAGGGTTTGACAAAAATGCATGAGGAATGGTGAGTTTATATTTCGAAATGTAAAGCAATTATGACCATTTATTTCTTAAAAATAAAAATGAAAAGGACATATAAAATTACTATTTACTGGGAAAACATGAAATAGATAGGCTATTCTTTGATTATTTCTTAATTGCATAAAAGTAAACAATTTTACTTGTTTGCATTTGAAATAATTATTTAAAGATTTTCCTCTCTCTAAACCTCACCATAAAATATATACTGGTAAATATGGTCAAGTAATTAACCTATTCAACAGCCTCATTTACTTTTGCTTGCCTTTTGTCTGGCTAATCACATCTACACATAAGCATGTACAGCTTCACCCAATGAGATGGGGGGAGAGATTTTTTATGCAATTTCTTGAAATTCCCTGATGTATAACAGTCACTAGTATGCATTTGTCAACTGTCTAAATATGCAAAACATATTAAGTTTTTATATGACCTTGCTTTATTTGGTTCTTTGAAGAGTAATTTTTAAAAATTTTAAAGCTAGGATATGAGTAGGAGGAGGATGGATATCGGCAGTCACTTTGAGTGCAGCGGGAGTGGGAGTTGTGGAATTTGAAGGTGGATGTGGGGTTTTAGTGTCAGTTTGGGACTCAAGTAGATAGTTTTGAATATCTTCAAGAGTTTCTGTAATGGAGTTGGTTGGGGAGTTTTGTGAGACAAAGGTTTTCTTGTGAGGGGGGAAGAGAAGACTGGTGTCTGAAGAGTAGGGATCAAAGGAAGGTGGAGGTGATTGTGTGGTAGGGGAAGAGGGGGTGGAACGTTTGGTTTGTCTGTTGCGGGTAGTGCAGGGAGGGAGAGGGGAAGGTGTTGGGCTGTAGTAGAGATTGGAGTATCTGGATTAAGGATGGCAAAAGAATTTGACTGGGGAAGGTAGGAGGTAGAAGAGGGGAGTAAGATAAAAACCTCGTTGACGTGCTTCCTGTCTGGCTTGACGTAGAGTGTGTCCAAGTCTGAGTCTGAGTTGCCACCTCAGACTCAAAGTTTTAGATGGGGCAGCCCCTATAAAATACATTATGGGGGCCGCTACAGTTGGCACATGTGTCTGATTGTGTAGAGCAGTTTGATCGAGTATGGCCAGGTTGAGCACATAGTAGGCATCTGGCTGTGGAACAGCAAGGTTTGGCTGTATGGCCTAAATGCTAACAATTTTGGCCCTGACAAGAAAGAGGTTGATATGGTTGGACAGGGAGGGATTCTCCACCAATGTAAACATTAAAGGGAGGGTAATGTCTACGGAAAGTAATTTTGGCAATGTTAGTGGGATTCTAACGTCTGGGAGGAATGGAGTAGCATTGTACTGGTATCGCATCATAGTCCATGAGACAAGTGAGTAAGTCTGCTCCACAATCTGACCAATTTTTGTTATAGATGAGGCAATTTGCAGGGGAGATAGAAACAGTTCCAGTGCAAGTATTGAGGGTTGGATGGGGTTCTGCAGGGATGGGGTTACCATATAGATCAGTTAGATTTGATAATGCTATAGCTCGGTTTTCAGATGTTACTGTGACGAGACAAGAACAGTCGGGTTGGCTACAGAAAGAGATTTTGCTTACTTGTTTTTGGAGACAATGCTGGAAGAGGAGGGTGTTGTCAGAGTAGGGAGCTGTGGGAGGGATCACGAAAAATTGCTCCCATTTGGCTGGGCTAAATAGAGTATTTAAGATTTTTGTAGAGATGGGGTTAGTAGAAGGATAGGGGTGTATGGAAGTGGGAGTAGTATTGAGGGAGGTAGTGTTATGGAGAGGTGGGCAATAAGGCTGTAAAGTAGTAGTAAAGGAGGATGGGGTAGTTGATGAAGTAGAAATGTCTCCTGGGGGTTGAGTGTTGACTAGGGTGGATACTGTACTAGTAGGCATTGAGGAGGGGGTAGTAGTTGTAGTATTTGGAGCCATGGTCAAAGGAGAGCCTGGGGTCAGGGAATCGGGAGAGTTTGAATTGTTGGGGCTATTTGATGAAGGGGCAAGTCTCATTGTCCCTAATAGTGGAATAACATCTTCATTATTGGCCATGGTAAGCCTGGAGTATGTTGGGGAGAGAAACAGTCCACCCCTCAGGGTCCCCTTGAGGGGTAAGGGCTAGGCAACTAAGCAGGGGAATACCGTGCCCATGACTCCCTCAGGCCGTTCAGAACTGGCACAAAGTCAGCCTTCCGTCCTTTCATCACGGTTCTCACACCTTAGGAAGTGGATAGTAGAAGGGGTTGGTAAAGGGACAGAAACGAAAAAGTAGCAGGGAAAAAAAAAGACCATGCAAAATTAGTTGAGTCGAGGGCTGAGTCCTAAGGTTGGGGAGTTCCCATCATCTCCTAAGCCCCCCCCCACAACAACAACCGGCAAGGGATTGGGAGGTACCAGAAAGGAAGCAAGGCCTCGCCTGCACATGGACCAAATTACAGGCAATAAGATTACTTGAGTGATGACTCTCCTGGGTATGTGGCTTGTCGGCCCAGCCCACATGAACACTAATGTGTGGTATTAAGATTCCTTGCTTCCTCTTAGCAATGTCTTTTTCTGCATCACCAGTTTTAGGTGTCATTTTCCTTGGTCTCCTTCCTAAATGCCCACTGATTCTAATACACCAAGATCTGTGTGTTTTTATGACAAGTTATTCCCATCACCCTGGCTCTGAGCCCTTTTCTTTATGATGGCATGTTCCCATCACCTAGCCCTCAGCCAAAGTTTTTCATGACATGACAGTCATGCCACCTAGATCCATGAAAGTACTAACAAATTTATAATAAAAAAAAAAAAAAAAAAAAAAAAAATCAATCAGAAATTTCTATAAAGCAAATGTCACAAAAAGAATGTATTGTTATTGAGCAATATGCAATATTGAGCCATCTTTTCTGCCACTCTAAAAGAAATTTATCGATTTGGCATACAGGCACTCACCCCCCAGAGTATCCCTACAAAGCTGGTCATAATGTCCAATATCAACATACACACAATACCCAAAACCTGAAAACCATTTTTTTAATGACATTAAAAAAAAACTCCACACAGGCCTTCCTCACCTCCACATAAGGGTAGAATCCTGTGGTTCCTTGCTGCCTGAAATAATCGCCAGTGTCAAAGAACATCTTGTAGGTCCCAGGAGTAAAGGCTTCTTGGGAGAGGAATTGCCCTGCACGACCATCACTGTTTGTTGCCCTAAAAGTTTCATTTGAAAAACAATGAGAAAAACAAAATAAAAGGACATGGCTTTCATTTTCTCTAATCATGATAATATTTTAAAATAAGCCAACTGAATCTTTCCACTATAAAATACATACTTACTTCCCCTTTCTTCAGTAAATGGCCCACAGCAGGTAGCTCAATGTATATGATCTGAACTTACCAAAATTACACATACATTATCCAAGACATGATAGGTAATTATGGAGCTAGTTAGATCCTAGTTGCACATTCCTTTTAGTCAGTCTTGGGGTATGGCTGGTTTAGTACTGGCCCTCTGGTTTCATACCTAGAGCAACCTAGGTTCGAGGCCCAGTCAGGGAGGGTTGTTATACATCTATATCATTGGGGCACTGTAATACACACACACGCACGCATGCACGCACACACACTCACACACACACGCACGCACACACACACATACACACACACACACACATATGCACTCGCACACACATGCACTCGCACACACAAACACACACATGTATATATACATATACATATATATGTGTATAAATACATATATGTATATATACATATAAATATATACATATATATGTATATTCACATATATATGTACATATATATACATATATTTGTATACATATATATGAATATATACATAAATATATATACATATACACATATATATAAATATATAATTATGATAATAATAACCAATCATTAATCATAATTCAAACAATATAAATATTGTTAGTCAATCAATCACTTGAGCTGATGCTGACGTGAACCAAAGTGATATCCATCCTTTACTTCCAGTCATGAGTGTCCCTAATAGTTAGCCTTCAGGTCCTTAGCATGGCCCTATCTCCCCAAAACAGGTCTGGTCAATCTGCACAAGCAACAACTTTGCATGTCATCCCATGGCTCTCCTTCGTCTCTGCACATAGATGGTTCTGTTAGTGCTTAGCCACAAAGGAGTCAATTAGTAGACCTTGTGACCTTATCTGATTTCACCTTTCCTTGAATTGGCTGGAAAAATGTTTTTTTTTAAACTAATCTTATGAATATTGATGGTGTTATTTTTATCATAAACATTATAATTACTATAATGTTATAGATGTTAATAACAGCAATATAAGATAATGTAAAATATTTTTGAAGACCAAGGAAAAGGGTGCACAGGCGAGAAAGGCAATACTCATAATTGGCTCATTGGTGACTTAGTACAAGTGTATCCATCTATGTGTAAAAACAATTAACAAAGTAAAGAAACAGTGGGCATGGCATGTACATACATGTCATGGTGTAACATTGGTAGAACATACACCAATTGTACCCCGTGACCTGGCACTAGGACCTGTTGTATGTTACCTCCAAGGCATGAGATTCCATAAAACAAAACTGGCAGTATTATGGCTTAAAGACAAGTAGCCTGATCCTTCTTCACAAGTACCCACATCTCCAAATACTGCTAGGCCAATACGTCTACTGATGTCTTCACTACCAAGGTATGTAAAGCTCTCTTTGACCTTGAAGTCCTTGCTCCAAGCCTGTACTAACTGAGCAGGTTCTCCTAATAATATTTAATCAATATTATGATTATTATAAATTATCATCAGTTATTACTCAAATGCCTTTCACAGATATGGTATTATGTGTTCAACAAAATAATAACATACTTAGTGGCTATTTCTTCCCAAACTGCATTTTGAAGCCTGTGTAGTGACAATTTCATGTTAGCTGCTGGCCGGCCTGTTGCTGTGTCCAACACATGACTGGTAAGTGGATTGCCTGCCATTGAAGTTCCTACAGTAGTTGGTGATACAACCTGAAAATATAAAAGAGAAAGTACTTGCCTATCCAGAACCAGACAAATTCTGTGTTGAAAT